TTCAGATGTATCTTTCAACACATACTTACAGAATTGTGTTTTGACTGGATGCAATAATTCTACTAACCATTTAGCAAGTTTATGTGTTGGGGATTTGAACACTGACAATATATGACGTAGAGGATTATTGGGTTTATGTATTTTTGGTAAGCCATACATATGCGGGGATTTACAATCTGATGGTTTTAAAGAATTAAATTTATCTTTACTTATAGCATTTTAGCTTCACTAGATTAGCTGTCACTGTGCCCTGCCACAATTGAATATCTTCTGAAGAGAGATCATGGCTAAATTTGCTTTTATCATCAAGAATAGACATCACTTTAGATTTGTAGTCACTTTTATTCATAATGACGACTCCAGAACCTTTATCAGGTTTCGTAATAATTATATTAGAATTTTCCCGTAACTCTTTCAAGGCTTTGAAATGCTTGGAATTTAAAATAATTTTCTCCTTTGGGTTGTTGTTTAAAAACTGGTGACCTTAAACCAACCTCGATCTTCATCGGATGTTGCGGCAAGAGGTTTGAGTTGGTCATATAAGTTTTCGAACTCAGGATGGATGGCTAAGTCTGTAAATTGCGCGCGAGGAACACAAAATTTAAATCCAAGGGATTGAGCTTCTTTCTGATGACTAGATAGAGTAATATCAGAAAGATTTGTAACATACTTGTCAGGATTCACCTGAAAAAGATCTACGCGGTTTCGATCATCAGTTGAACTCTTCAACTTATTTTTTATATTTGTCTTTGTTTTCTGAGTAACATCTCGCGGAATTTGTCTTCTAAATGCCTTATTCATATTTATCAAAGGGATTAACTGTTTTAATCGTCTTAATAACTTTCTCAGAACAGACTCTTTTTGACAACAGTGGAATATTCTATTTGTTTTGGGTACATATGTGTTGCAGCTACTGCAGGCGAACTTGAAGATGCAGAGAAAAACTGTCATACGTATTGTTAACTGTCACTGGCAACTGGTCCTATTCAGGTAAGTAGGGTACAGCAGATCGGGCATGAAGTCAAATACTCGCCGGAGACATTGGCTAGTGGTCACATATTGATACATTCATTATGTAATCGGCAGCCGAAAAGCTGTATCACTCTCCCAATTCTCCAAGTATTATTATGTAATTCTAGTGTTATTTATTTATCGACGCTGAATTTGCATTTCCCCTTAAGGGATAATATTTCACCCAAGTGTTCTGTTGTTTCTGACATGTCACCTCTTAATACGGATGCTCCAACAATGTCTGAGGTGTAATATGATGCCATTAGGTGAATGGTAACTAGTAGTGGAATCCAGCATGCGCATTTCGTCTTATATGGGACTTGTCAGCTGTAAGTCTCTTCAATCTCCAGGGAGTGATGATGCTGCCACTGAGACTCAAACCCAGTACTCACCGATGTAGATTATAAAGTGTCTTTTTCGCCAGACTGATGAGTCATGACAGTCAACTCTTGTCCAACACGAATGAGTAATTATTTGTTGAAGTGACTTTCATGTCTCTTATTGACTAATTATACTGGACCAAAATGTCTGGCCTTTGTTGACAAGTCTGCTTCTTGTGCAGACGCTTCGACGGTGTCTGAACATTAACATGATGTTATTTTGTGGGTGATGATTATTATTATTGTTTCCTTTAATTCCTAGAGGAATATAGGGCTTCAGCCGCACGTCTCTATTGCGTTCGGTTCTCTACTAGAGTCTTCACCTGGCTCCAAGTCTACCCACACGTTTTCATCTCCTCTTCACATCACCTCCTCCACTCCATGTCACCCTTGCACTGACGACCAACTCGCCGCCGCTTCCCTTTCGGGTTCCACTCGAGGGCGATGGCTTGTCTAGTGATGTCACTTGATGGATTGTTTCCTCAGAGTATGGCCAACCAATCCATCTCCATTTCTTCCTGCCTATTTGTTTCACAATCGGTTCCTGCTAGGTTGGTTTGCTCACTGCCAGAGATCCCATCCTGTTGCTGATCTTTTCTGGCAGGCTGGTCATCTGATCTTGAGTACTGAGCGAAGACAACTGTTAATGAAGGTGTGTAGTTTGTTTGAGATGCTCTTTATGACGCGCTGGCCAAGTCTGTGATCCGTAAAGTAGCACTGAATTCACATTGGGTGATGATTAACTGTGGATATTCCTTCAAAAAAGATATTTACTCAGCTGGCAAGTTCGTCTCATTATTACAGATTTGGGAATTCCTAGTTGTATCAAAACGCGGTTTGGATAAGAGCACAGTGGTTACACTGTCGCCGACCATCCACATGGTCAGGATTCGGTTCACTGCCAACACTCACCTGATATCAATGGTCTGTCTGCAAAATTTTGCTACCAATATCACATGCTGAGAATTCCATACTTGTACCAAAAATATGGTGTGTAATCAAGCTATAATCAAAAATCAAAATATGAAAAATACTTATTGCTGTAAACAAACTAATTAATTTAATTCCAGAAATTGGAACAATTCAGTCGTGTTAAAAAATAAAAATCACTTATTCAGTGAATTCCTGTTTGAAATTTATTCAGCAGTATTTTGCACACTTTTCAAACTCTGTAAAATGCTGCATAACTTGTGTTAGTGGTCGTTGAATCTTGACGGTGTAGATGATTTGAGTAATGATCCATTCTGAAACTATCTTTATTTATTGCGATGCAGTATACTACTGAAGTTTGGTATGAGTAGTTTAAAACCAATTACAGTAAAACCGTAGTGTTTAGAAACCAAGTATATGTGATCTCACCATTGCGCTAGCTTTCATTTAATATTCACTGACGTTTCTGATTGTTTAGTCTTCTCATGGTCAGATGTTCATTTGCCTTGAGGCAGGTAGGATTTTACCCTCCAAACTTCTGAACTGTATTGCAAAACTCCGCACCAAAAAAAGTGAGTTCAGTAGAAGCAAACCATGTGAGAATCAAATTACAACCCTGCACATCATCATCATGGAACAGAAAATAGAATGGTAGTCAAATCTCTACCACAACTTCATCAACTTTGGAAAAGCCTGGGATAGCATCGAATGTAAGGTAGTTTGGAAAATACTACAACACTGTGGAGTGTACCAAGCTTTTATCAACCTGATTCAACAGCCATGCGATGGTATGACATCGGAAAACTCAAAGACGCATTTGAGGAGAAGACAGGAGAAAAACAAGGCTGCCTAGTGTCACCGATGATTTTCCTTACTGTGGTCGTGGACTGGATCATGCATCATACCGTGGGAATTGAGAAGACAGTAATACGTTGAACCGATAAGAAGACTGTAGAAGATTCGGACTTAACGGACGACTTATGTTTAATTTCCCATAAAGTCGAAGATCTACAAGCGATAATCGATAAGCTGGTGGAAGAGGCAGGCAGAGAAGACAGTCGGTCAAGTGAACATGTAAAAGACACATGAGGTGAAATTATCTAACTAACAACAATGGCCAATCATTACCAAGAGAAGAAATTTAGAGAAGGTCAACACTTCCACTCGTGCAAGTAGCATTATTTCAACTACAGATGACAGAGATGAAGATGCCGAAGCCACTCACTATAGAAAAGGCATGACTGACATTCATTATTAATTGGATGTCAATTTGGAGATCTACTGCACTAAGAGCGAAGAATAAGGTTCGGATTTTCATTCAGTAATTCAAGATGGTTCAAAAATGTAGCGGCGCGTCATGAAAAGCATTTTCAACTGGCTACTGCATACTTTTATCAATAGCTGTCTTCGATTTCTCCACAATGAAGATCCGCTGTCCAATCAGAAGGAATAAACAGCAAAGATTCTGGCAACAAACCAACCAGGGCTCTATGCTCAAACAAATTTTCTGAGGAGAATGAAGGTGGATTAGGCACACACTGAGAAGGCTACTGAATAACACCATGTGCCACGTAAACTCTTCTGTGGAATTCGAGTGGGAAATAAAGAGTTTGTCACGGATGTGATGGTGATACGGAAGAGGTGAAAGTCTCTCGGCAGTTGTGAAGGAGATTACAGAGAGGAGGATGAAATGAAGATGCCTTGTTGAAGCCTTATATTCCACTAGGAAATTAATGGAATAATGACACTGTTAATATCGCAGTTCAAATCAGTAATTTTTTCAAATAGAATCATGTTCATCTGCCTGATTTCAAATAGACTGTATCTATGAAAGGACATGAAAAGTGTACGACCATTAAAACTCAAACATTATATGATCATTTCATCGTCTACTAAATTATTATTATTATTAGCCTACATGTTATTAGTTTATAAATACCATGTAAAGTATTGATATACAATTCAATGTGTTCAATTTCTCATTGTTTTCAACAAATAATTCATTGACATGTATTTTGATTACTTGATGAAAAGCAGAAAAATCTGTTAATGATATAAAAATGTAGTGAACATATTACAAACTTTATTGTCTTTTTTATTTACATGTTTATGCAATAATCATAAAATATTTGTTTTGTTTTAATCAATGCTAAATGATGCCGCCAAGTATGTAATCTCAAAATGTCTATCTATCTGTGTTGAATGGAATAGTACCACTCCTACATTTCCTATGGATAAGAGTAAAAAATGAAAACAACAACAATAATAATAATGCGATCAGTTCACACTAGAAACAACAGAATAATATGAGTAGGTTTCACTGCATTAAATTCTTATCTTGATTATGACACAGAGAGTGAGTAGGATTTCACCTGTAAACACATTATAAATTTCCCTTCTCGCTCTCGATAACTCTATGTAGGCTGTCAAATATTATTCCGTTATGTTATTCCGTCACAGAAGAAATGCTAAACAGGTTGATGTTGTTGTCACCTTTGTGTATAAAGGAAGTAGGCAGTAATACATTTTCTTGTCAACTCTGAAATGGACAGAAAGAATGCGACACTATCGGATGACAATTTGACAATTATTATTTTATTCACTCACACATGTTAGAACATACAGTCTATCATATGTATATATATATGGCCAATAAAGAATATTCGGTTCATCGTTTCATATAAATATCATTAGTGTTATTTAGGCATAAAATGCAATTACTTGTTAGTAATACATACTAGAAATTAAAATTTCCGTTGAGTAATTTCAAAAAGACATTAGCAAAATTTTAAAATTTTATAAAACAATAATGTATCTACTACCAGCGATATCTTTTATTTACTTAATCTATTCAATGAATTGGTTAGTTTGTGCGTCTGCTGTAGACTGGTCAAATTCCCCGTTGGATAGTAATGACGGTGAAGACGGTATGTCCCAAACATCCTTTTTGTTTTTTTATCACTTCATTAATTACTTTGATTAAACACTAGTTAGTGTAACTAGTGTCATGTGTCCAATCTTTTTTTTGTTGTTGTTGAAGATTGGATTTTCTCTCAGTCAAGTTCTCAATGTGGTCATCATGTTCGGTGGCTTTATATCACACTGTGCAATGTAAATTGTTGTGTTATTAGATGGTTGAAGACAATCTCAGTAGGAAGCTTTGTTTGTTGGCTGACAAGGTGTATCTGCAGTCATAAGGGGGGACTCATATCCCTTGTAAGATTCAAACCGGAGTTACAGGATTTTCATCATGAGCTGATATTAGTTAGAGAACCACTGGAAAACCTGTGAGTACTGGACAGCTGTTTCGTCCTAGTTTGAGAATCTTCAGCAGTACGCACCCACCGGAGTTACCCAGTGTTCTAGTGAAAGATGTTACCACTGAGCTATTTTTACTCGCGACTGACCTCTATTACGATTGAGGAGTAGCAGGAGTTTCTTCAAGATTTCAGACATGCCTTGTTGTCCAGTGCTAGCAGGCATGAAACCTAGGTCAAACAAGGCTTCCCGCAGACTACCTCCAACCAATTAGTAACAATAGTTGATATAATTAGTTTAAATGTAAAAAGATCTTAAGACTATATCACACCGGACAAGTACATATTTAAGGAAATTTAAATAATAAGTGAACATGTCATATCTCATCGTATTGATATTATTTGACTAGAATATACAATGTTACATTCTACATCAGATATTCTAATGCTTGAGAGGAATGATTGACAATTTCAAGAGTCTACAAGTAACCATGACAACCCAAAATGCATATTTAAAATGCTAAGTAACATTTATTGCTATGAAACGGTTAATTGTGAGAACATTTTTTATTTTCATTAAATATTATACAATCATCACATTTAGAAAAACTGCATATACTAGCCCGTCAACAAAAGCTTTTCCAGCAGTCTGCTGCAAAAACATTCATCAACTAACGCCGAACCTCCACTCGATACTGAACTTTGTTGGTTGGTCTGTCAGAAAAGATACACAACAAAGAACTCTGTCAGTTAACTAGTCAACAACCTACTGTCAGACAACTAGACAGAAGGAAATGGAGATGGATTGGGCATACTCTGAGGAGACCATACGGCGTCAACCAGAATGGGAAGCAACTTACTGAGTGTCAAAGTGTCATGTGAAGGATCTCTTTTGATAAGGAAATAAAAATGAGATGGTAGGGAAATCAGTGGATTGGAAATGTGTCGCTGAACCTCTATATTCCTTCGCGGAACACGAACATACATGAATAATGACTATGATAAATAATTGATTCTAAATTATTTTTGACGATACTGATGTTTATGAGTAGAACAGTGACATGATATTATTGTTCTGAGAATGAGTACATCATGCAAGCAAAATGTAATGTCATTACCACAAACTGCTTATTCTGTGTTTTATATAAATTTAGTTCCTATCAGGTTGATATGCAGTTTGAAATTGTTTTCTCTTAGTAAATATATATTTAAATATTCTGAAGGAATTCGGTGGATGATGACTGATGACCAGTGGAATCCAGGATACTCATTTCGTCCCACTCGGGACTCGTCATCCGGACGAACCTGCATTTCCCAGTGAGTGACAGTATCCCTACTGAGACTTAAACCTAGTACTCATCGCTTCAAATGCCAAAGCGTTCTTCACCAGACTACTTGAGCCACAAGAGCCACCTCTTGTACAGCGGACGTCAGTTATTATTACAATTATTATAATAATTCAAATTTTTTGGACTTTCCCTTGATTCATTGGACCTAAATGTTCGGTCTCTGCTGACATTCACTTGACAAGTTCTATTAAGTAGGGTGAAATACTCACCCAAGTTCTCATTGCTAATCACCATCCATCAAATTACTTCAAGTTAATCATAAGATATCGTTGAAACATCCTTATCAGGAACCAACACGTATCAACAGAGACCGAATATTTCAGGTTCAATCAATCAATGGGAAATTTAATACTGAATTAAAAACACATAATTTTACTGTTGTCTGATCTGTTGTAAATATTATCGAATGGATGAATATGCATGGATGGGTGGCATTCACTGATGTTTGAAAATCATCTAACTGCTATGGTTTGTATTGTAAATCTTCAGTTCTTAAAGGTCTTACTACATACTGAGGGATCAAGTGTTAAGGAACGTAGACTTTCATGTTTTCCTCAAACTTCTTGCATAAATTTTTTTATATCTTAGTTTCTAATGTGAAGTTCTGAATTGATGATCAGCTTATATGGTCGGCCTGTGAAATTTGGGCTACCGATATCCATGCTGAGAATGCCATACTTGTACTGAAAATACGGTGTGGCATCAAGCTGTAATAAAAAATAAAAATAAAATAAAAAAAATTGTGCCTACTGTTGATTAACAAAAGCATAAAACCATATCTCGCAATCTACATACTCACAGTTAAATTGAACAATTTAAGCAACCAGAAATGTAACAGTGAACATTGAACAAGTAAATAAATAAATAAACAAGAAGAGTAATAACCTGTTCCAAAAATGAGAAGAAAGTGTGTTCAACAAAAATAATTGAAACTGATTTTTTATGCTTATTGTTTTATTAACATTTTCGTGTTTCATTTTTCCAACTATACGTAACATTTGTCTGAGAAATAATATGAATACGAATACGGCGAACAATCAGTCTGTTATTGATTTTTGTCGATGTAAGTCCACTGGGTATATAAAATATTAAACAAGATGGAATCTATTCTCCTTCACATGATTATATAATCAGGAGGAACACGTATCATAGTTAGTTACATATTTTACCGTTTTGAATTTATCGGCATTTGACTATCATTCATGACGTATTTTATGATGTATTGATTGCACAGTAAGAAGCATTTTGTTTATATTTAAATGTATCACATGTTAATTTATCCAGTGGTATTTTCACCTATGACTATGAACTAGGATAACTAGCATAGGCAGGGACGTATTATGAGAATCTTCAAATTAATATAATAGTTTGTGATATAATCCTGCTAATAATGCATCACAAGTTCCTTTATTTGCCCTAGGAATCTTCAAATTGTATATCCGTAAATCTCGGTGTGTACTGATGAAGAGTCCCAAACTAGGGCGAAACAACTGTCCAGTACTCCAGGATTTTCCAACGGTTCTCTAACTGATATCAATTCATGATGAAATCCTGAAACCAATCAAATTCCTGCAGACCAACTCTTGTATAAATTATTGAACAGCTTCTAGGAAACTGTCATGTTTTCAGGGCAGGTCAGGTAACAATGAAAACTAGTGAACTCTAAGCAACTGTTTCTACTTACTTTCTGACTCTTTAACATTATTATTATGATTACTCCCTTGGGTTCCGAGTGGAACACAGGACTTCTACAACACATCTCCATTTCCCCCCTTGTTCTCTGTAGTCAACCTAAGCTAGCTCAACGATTGACCGTCATCTCTCATCTTCTCTAACATGATCATTTCCATGTCACCCTCATATCCAGGCCAAACTCATCATTCTCCATTCAGGTTCCATTGGAGTGGTGGCCTGGCGTGTGATGTAACTCAACAGTCTCCCTTAGCGTAGATCCGATCCATCACGATTTCCTACGGCATATTTGTTGAGGGGTCGGTTCTTTGTTGGTTCGTTGCCTGACATATTAATAATAATAATAATCTACTTTATTCCAAAAATAGTACTTATAATACAAAATCGAATTCTCAGCATTTGTCACAATATTGCATCTGATTTACTCAAAATATGAACAAAATTAAAAATATAAATAAAATTAACCACGTTTACGATATAAAGTCAAAATATTCGAAGCACGAATTGAGAATATTAAATGCAATAATAATAATAATGAGTTCGTTTCAAATACTATTATCGATTGAGTTTGGAAATTTTAACATGTTATAGAGTATTGAATCTAATGTTCTGTTGAAATAGTTCGGTGAGAAAAAATACAAAATTAACAGTTATAACACAGCTTAAATGATGTTCACACTTATGAAAATATAAACAAATAAAAACAAAAAATTGAGAGGATTATAGATATAAGAAGTACAATAACAACAAAGCGTGATGTTATATGGGTGGAGGAAATGGTTTATTTAGTAGTGCAAAGAAGGTTAGTTAGTTCATGTGTAACACTATTTTCATCACATAAAGTACGTGCTAAATATGGTATAGTGGAATATTTATACTTAGAAGTACGTGCATAAATTCTTCTGAAAAGACCTTTTGTTTTACCTGAGGAGACACAAGGTTGCAGCTGCGAGTAAAGTGGATGCTCACAGTCTGACAAAATTCCTTTAACCCAACGGGATACCACTCGTCCTACTGACAGTCTTTAGAGTTCTACGAAGTATGACATAATCTTTTTTAAGCAATCCAATAAAGAATAAGGGTGAACAGTAAAGAAAAATAGGTAGGATGCAAGAGTTGAAAAACTGTAAGGGGAGGAGGGTTTGAGTTATGCCTGAGTGCCTTAACTTCTTAATGTAAATAGTCAGACGAAATATTCTTTTAGAAATCGCTAGGACATCAGAAGACCAGGATAGGTCAGAAGAAAGAATTAATCCAAGATACTTAACTCCAGACTTGATTTCTGCATCACTGTCACCAATTTGGAAACGGTAATGGGAATTAACAGGTTCATTTAACTTTCTTTTACATCGGAAACTTAAATTAACAGTCTGATACTTGGAAGGACTTAATTTAAGACCATAAGACAAGGACCATTTGCTGACTCTTGATAGAAAGCTGTTCATCTTAGTACAGTCTAGGTTGGAATTAACAGACATTGAAATAGTTAGATCATCCACATACTTAACAAAGTTCCTTTTATCAGAGTGAGGCAAGTCATGCAAGAAGAAGGAAAACATTGGCGGCCTGCTTAAACCTTGGGCTACCAAAATCTTTCGTCACTTATTTTGCATCTGATTACTTGGATTT